TTTGAGCATCACCGTTTTAAACTAAAACGGTGATGTATTCACCGTTTCAAACTAAAACGGTGAAGGGTTCACCGCGTTTGTTAAGAATGGTGAATACCTCACCGTTTTAAACAAAAACGGTGAAGCCTTCACCGTTTTAGACTTCCACGGTGAAGGCGCTGACGTGGACTAATGCGGGGTATTCACCGCGTTAGACAAACACGGTGAATACCCGTGTTTGTTTGCGTCAGCGATCCGCGTCGCTGGCGCGTTCACCGTGTCCGTAGGATGCGGTGAGGCGCGGATCGTGGTTTTCTTTCCAGATCCGACGCCTCACGCTGAGCCACGTCGCTCGATTCGCGCCTCATCACCGTGTTCGAGAAACGCGGTGCCTTCACCGTTTCTGACGGACACGGTGAAGGCTGGGAGAATTCAATTCTCGGCAGATCCCTTCCCCCCTTCCCCCAACTATAAATAACCCTTCCCCTTTCACTTTCAAGTCACACCACAAACATTTCACTTCTTTCTCCCTCAATTTATCCGCTCTAGTCTCGTTCTAAGTATGCTCTGTGGTTGCGGCTAAGTCCGATCTTCCACATCAGAAAGAATTACTAGAGTTTGACCCTAAAGCCCCCGTCCCGCTAAGTTCCCGTCCCTTACAAACCTAAACCCGTCGAACCTCTGTCCGGCTTCCGCCAATAATGAACGAAGAGGCTCTTCGTGTAGGTTTTTGGTTTATGATTTTTTTTAATCGAAACAATTTGATTTTTTTTATCAAAACAATCTCTGATTTCATTACTTTTTTATAGATGGGTGCCGAGATATACGATCCTCGATTGTATATCCATTATGGCCCAAGGGATGCGAGTCTCTTAACCGATCAAGAAGCTCATCGCTCCCGTGCCATTTGGGATAACAATCCGGTAATTTGATGAACTGACTTGCTTTATTTTATTATTTTCTAATGTTTTATTTTGCTTTATTTAATCTAATAAATTGATGTTTTTCCTTTTTTTTTTAGGAATCTCTTGTTCCCGTGGTTCATAAAGGGACCAATAACTTGCCCGCTTGGCATCCAAGGTTGGAGCCCTATATAGCGAGGACCGGTTTGGGAATGTTGCGCCATTTCTTGCGGATCGAGATCGACAACGATCTGCTTACGGCAATGGTGGAACGATGGCGTCCCGAAACCCATACATTCCACCTTCCGGAGGGGGAAATGACGATCACCCTCAAAGACGTGGCGATCCTCACCGGGCTTCCTATATCTGGAGATGCCATCATTGGTTCCACGACCAAACCCGGAGGAGGTTAGGGGCCGCTCATCCGTGATCGTTTGGGCTTCGACATGCCAACCACCACACCAAATCAAGGACGGGGGCATCCACCGTTGAATGCGGGGCAAGTGTCGGTCCCGTGGCTGGTATCTCACATCCAGCAAGAGGTGGAAATCAATGACGAGACACCGGAAGAACAAGTCGAGCGCTACGCCCGCATCTACCTCATCGGTTTGGTGGGTGGATTTTTGTTCCCCGACAAGTCCAACCGGTGGATTCAAGGCATATGGTTGCCATTGCTCACCGGTGACTGGGATGCAATTGGAGAGAAGAGTTGGGGATCGGCCGTGCTAGCGGGCGTATACCGGGAGCTGTGTACTTGCTCGAAGGTTGGGGCAAAGCAAGCTGGTGCTGCGATGTTCATCATTCAACTGTGGGTATGGGAGCATCTTCCAATGTTCGCACCTCTCGACCCACGTCCATACCGGAGAAACGATGATGAGCTCAACCTTCTGCAAAATCTCCCCTACGGTGTCAAGTAAGTTTATTTCGTACTTAGCCCAATTTAAATTTTATTACATGCTTGAGCTAGATTTAAATTGAATTTATTCCGTACTTAGCCCAATTTAAATTTGATTACATTAGCTAGATTTAAATTTAATTTATTCCGTACTCAGCCCAATTTAATTTTGATTACATGCTTAACTAGATTTAAATTGAATTTATTCCGTACTTAGACCAATTTAATTTATTATATGCTTAGCGATATTTCAATTAAATTGATTCCGTACTTTTACTTACAAGGTGGATAGGAGCAAATACGAATGACCATCAACCTGAGCATTCGTTACTGTTTTATCGTTCTGAGTTAGATAAACCATGGTGGAATCAGGTAATCATGTTTTGTCCATATTTGAACAAGTTCAATTTTATCAAAGTAAATGGTCGTTAATTCCGAATTTTTGAATGAATATAGGTTATATGGGATCCATATCCACGTGAAGTGGTTGAGCTGCATCATCTTAGGCACCCTCTGGATCACGAGACGTGGTTGTGCAAGGTGCCATTGATCTGCTGGCACATTGTGGAATGGCACCTACCCGATCGATCCCTGAGGCAATATCGAATGGAGCAACCAATTCCACAAGACCCGCCAGCAGGTTTCAGGGAGCTACATGCTATGGACCTCCGAAACACTGCAAAGGACTGGCAGCTAAAGCATGGATTCTACATCAACATTTGGGAGAATCGATCCCAATGGGTGGTGCAAGGGATGCCGGAGACGAGACCGATGGGCTACCACGATGGGTACATGCACTGGTATCAGAAGTTCACCCTGAGATGGGTGTCAAAGCAAGGTGCTGTGATGGGTTCGTTGGTAAGTCATCCTAATCTCCCTCATTCTAAAATATATTTATTTTAAGGTTTAGTTAATTTGATATATTTTATGCTTTCCTTAGGTTGATGGTTTGGAACACGCGAAGTACACTCTCGAAAGTGCTCCAACCATGGATGAGCGGAAGACTACTTGGTTGACCCGACTTATGAATAACCTCCTGAGTTGCACCAGAGAGCAAAGGAGGGATGTCGTGGCCTATCCTCCCGTTCCTGCCCCGGCACGACCCTCATTCCGTGATGATGCAGCCATTGTGCCCCCGGTTGAGCCCCCACGAAGGAGCGAACGCAGGCCTTTGCCTACGTTCGAAGAGGTGCGTACCACTCAAGCAACCGAGCTCCCTGAACCGTTCGAGTACCAGTGGGCACTTGCAGCGGATGCCGGTGGAGGGTCATCGAGTCGTGGAGGATCTCAGGAATGGGACACTTTCTCTCATGGGTTCTCTCAATTCCAACATCAGCAACAAAGTTCGATGTATCAGACCCCGCAACAACAAACTCCGAACCCCCCGATCATTCGGCAAGCTACCGGTCCAACTCAGCCACCACCACCACCATATGTAACCCCAGTTGGGGCTCGGGTCAAGAGAAATCCGCGACCAGCCGTTGAGCGAGCCCGCCAAGAAGCAGCGGCGGAGGGGGGAAGAAGGGGTCGAGGACGTCGTGGAGGACGAGGAGGAAGAGGTGGAGATGGGGGCCAAAATGAAGCAAATGAGTGAATTTATCGTTTTATCCTGCAGTAGTGATCTATCCATGTTGTTTTGGTGCTTTTTAGGTGTTGTTATTTGAGTTTGCATTGTCTAAAAACTATCCTACGCACTTAAGTTGTCGAATGAATTTTCTGGATCATTTTATCAAGAATCAGTATCTTCCCTCAACACAAAAAGTTGGGAAAATCAACCACGATCGCATAGAATTTTACAGATCCCAATTCCGAGTCCAAACGAGTGAGATAAGTGACGTCAAAGCGCGATCGTATCGTTAAAGTAACTTTTGTGTACTAAAAACTAAAACGCGCGTATCTTATTCGTTTGAGGTCGAAATAACGAGCCGTTTGCGGCAGCGCTATCGTATCCTCCTGTATAACCACCGCCTTGGTAGTTGCTCGAACTACCACCCCCCATTCGTACCCTCCTGCAAAACCATCATCATAAGAATACTGGTGAGAATGAGATTCACCGACCGCCTCGGTCTCAACATACACCTCTGCAAGCCGGACTTGGTTATCGCTTAGGAACTGTAACATCATCATAACCACGTCATCATCGTTTATGACAACTTCTTGGAACACGACCCCGCCAGCACTCATGGTCTGGATACCGGTAAGTAATTTTGCCAAGTCTCGTCTGTCCGCTCGTACAAACCCTTTCTGCACAAAGATCACAGAGTTCTTGAAAAATGAATCGGGAATCAATTTTCAGCATAATGGATTCGCCGTCCTCATAATCAATGCCTATGTCAGAGTTTGTCACCCTTCCATTCCACCGAATAGTAAGATGAAACTTCTTGAATTTACCCATATCTACAATTTACAATAAGTATCTATTAGCTTAAAGACAGTAAAATTAACCAAAATCATATTGTACAACTAATATTAAATCATACCATAACTAACGAAAATAAATTCAACTAACTAACAACAACATAATACGAAAATTAAATCATACTATAACTAACGAACATAAGTTCAACTAACTAACAACAACATAATACGAAAATTAAATCATACTATAACTACTAAAAACATAATTAGACTATAATACGAAAAGTCTCAACATACCGAAAAATTTCTGTTATGTGTATTATGCTCGATTTTGGCTGCTGAAATTTGAAGAAAGGGGAGTGGTTATGTTCTTACAACTGCTGGTGGTGTGCAATTTATAGGAAAATCTGCCTACTATTCACCGTTTTTGTCGAAAACGGTGAACACCATCACCGCGTTTGTCTCAAACGGTGAATAGGTGGTAGCTGCGACCTAATTTTGACCTACCAGGGGTGGGAAACGTGGGAAATGATCACCGCGTTACTTAACAACGATGAATGGGTTCACCGTTTTTGACCAAAACGGTGATGTGTTCACCTTTGTTAATTAACGCGGTGAAAACTTAACCGTTTTAGTTTGAAACGGTGAATACTTCACCGTGTTTGTTTAAGACGATGAAGTATTCACCGTTTTGGTCAAAAGCGATGATGACCTTCACCGCTTTTGTCTAAAACGGTGATGCTCAAACATGTGTACTTTGGGAAATTTTTTTATAACTCATGTGTTTTGGGAATTTTTTTTAAGAACGTGTGTACAGTGGGATTTTTTCCTATTATATTGTATTTGCCCAAGAAAGAAAAGCATGCCGTAGCTTCTAAACCAAACGTCCACAGAGCCACTGCTCCCCGTAGTTACGGCAGAGGAAGGAGAAGACTTCAGCAATCCAGTAGCCAGGAAAAGATATCACCTCTCGTACCAAACACGCGCCATTCATGCTCGGCCTTCATCGTCTCCTCTTCAGCTGACGGTAGCCGCCCGGCGCCCAGGACTTCCGACGCCGCCGTCTAAGCTTCCTCCCCGGTACTTCTGCGCTGCGTTCGACTTTCCTTCGCTTCAATTGGTTTCACCGGCGGGGCCAGGTGAGCTGCAGTCCGCGGGATTTTAGTGGATTAGTTGATTTGGTGATAGGGCGAAAAGCAAAAATGATGGGATCGGAGAATGAAGCAGAATCTCAAGTCTTCGCCTCTAGAGAAGAGATGGAAAACCTTGTGCTCGATGAACCTTCCGATAATACCAACGGCAATGGAGGCAGCAAATCTTTCTCCGATTACCGCAGCGTCATGTCGTCCCTCGCCGACGCGCATCACCCTTTCTCCCCGCCATTGACTCCCGCAGATTCGGATCCTTTGCTTGCTCCTCAACCATACCGGGATCTCCGAAACCCTAGCCTCTCTCACGATAATAACAATTCCTACATTGAACCGCCTGCCTACGCCGATGTGATCTTCAGTCCGTTCGACGAGAATACGGGCAGCGAAATCAACGGCATCGATAGCCCCGGTCGATCTTCCGATTCCTCACTTTCTCTCTCGAGATCCCCGTCCTCCAGCTCTGATTACATCAAGATCACCGTCTCCAATCCACAGAAGGAGCAGGAAAGTTCGAATTCGCTAGTCCCGGGAGCTAGCACCTATGTCACGTATCTAATAACGACGAGAACCAACATCCCCGAGTTCAACGGATCCGAATTCGGCGTGCGGCGGCGATTCAAGGACGTGGTCACCTTATCCGATCGTCTAGCAGAGGCTTATCGAGGGTTCTTCATCCCGCCTAGGCCAGACAAGAGCGTTGTGGAGAGCCAGGTGATGCAGAAGCAGGAGTTTGTAGAGCAGAGAAGAGTTGCTTTGGAGAAGTATTTGAGAAGGCTGGCTGCGCATCCCATCATAAGGAACAGCGATGAATTGAAGGTGTTCTTGCAAGTGCAAGGGAAGCTGCCGTTGGCTACAAGCACCGATGTGGCATCCAGGATGCTCGACGGCGCAGTGAATCTACCGAAGCAGTTGTTCGGAGAAGGTTCGACGGTAGCCCCTCAGGATGTGGTCCAGCCAGCGAAAGGAGGGAGAGACTTGTTGAGGCTGTTTAAAGAGCTGAAGCAGTCTGTTTCTAATGATTGGGGTGGATCAAGACCACCTGTAGTGGAGGAAGATAAAGAGTTCTTAGAGAAGAAGGAGAAGATGAACGTTTTTGAGCTGCAACTCAGCAATGCTTCTCAGCAGGTTGAATGATGGTTATTGTTTGTTATGCATTAAGATTTATTCTCTCCTCATTTCCTGCTTTTGAGTGATTGTTTCATTGTTGGTTTTGTTGTTTGTGGGGGATTTTTGTTTGCAGGCGGAGTCGCTGGTGAAAGCACAGCAAGATATGGGGGAGACAATGGGAGAATTAGGGTTAGCATTTATTAAATTAACGAAATTTGAGAATGAGGAAGCTAAGTTTGAATCACAAAGAGTAAGGGCAGGTGACATGAAGAACGTAGCTACAGCTGCTGTCAAAGCAAGCAGATTCTACAGGGAACTGAATGCTCAAACGGTTAAACATTTGGTAAATTACTGAATATAGGCTCTTCATTCTGCCTGCTGTCTTAATAGTACATTTAATTTACTATCTGGAAAACGTAAAGATGATAAGGTGACTGTTATTGAGATGATGATTTATTAGACAGGCTTTTGCTACGCCACTTTCTGTGCAAATTTGTGAAAATTAGCATTATTTGCTTTTTGTGCTTTGGAAGTGGATGTCTGAAATGTTTTTGAAGGAAACTTCCTGATTTTGCTTATGAACTTTCAATTGGCAGGATACCCTCCACGAGTATCTTGGGTTGATGCTATCAGTTCATGGTGCATTTGCCGATCGCTCTAGTGCTTTGCTGACGGTGCAAACTCTTATATCAGAATTGTCGGCTCTGCATACAAGGGCCGAGAAACTTGAAGCTGCTTCATCAAAGATATTTGGTGGTGATAAGTCGAGGATTCGCAGGATGGAGGAGTTGAAAGAAACTATTAGAGCCACTGAAAATGCTAAAAGTGTTGCGATTAGAGAATATGAGCGGATTAAGGTAATGTGATTTTTTTCTAATCATAATTGCGAATGAATGTCTTGTCTGGGTTAGATTTTTCATTTTTGTATCGGCAGTCTATATATAGTTCATCGGTCCAATACGAGTCACGTTGTTGTGCATGGAGTTTGCTATAACTTTATTTGTTTTATTCTTGTTCCTTATTTGAGGGTTTTTATGGTATCATTGCATAAGCAGAAAGCATTTACGAAGATAGTATTTTATTAGGATTAGTAAGGAATTAGATTTCTTGGTGGTAAGTTTTTTACTCCTATATAAGGAGCTTTCTGCATTGATTTAGAAAAGAGCAAGAATAGGAAGTTTATTCAAGTATTTGACTTGTTTTCTTTGAGTGGATTCCCGAGTGAAGTTCTGACCTGTGAATGGGGAGGCACAGCTCTAAGATCGTATCTTCCAATACATTTCTTGAAGGACCATCTCAAACAGAATTTTGTCTTTCCTGTATTCTCTTTGCCTTATAAACCTTAGACAAGTCACATCTATTCTTTGATTAAGCTATTCATGTTCATGTTTACGATAGTTTTTCTCAGTCAGAGCTGTGTTTATGGTTTTGATAAGATGCTAGAGCCATTACATTTGTGTTCCAGATTTCATATTTGCTCTAACCAGTGATATTCTGTAGCAGAGGCTGTTGAATCTGAGCTTTTCCATTGTTGTTTGGCTTCATTAACCTTATCCATTTCCTACTTATGGAACTAGTTGATTAATGTTCTATGTTTTCAATATTAGAGTTTTACGTTTTATGGCTCCATTAACCTTATCAACTCCTTTGTTGATCTCTTGTTGCATTTCCTTTTAGCTTTCTTTCGTGTACTTAAACATGTTGGTACAGTCCCTTCAAGGAACCTAGCATCTGTTTTGCTACTTCATCTGCTCATTTGGAGTTGTCTTTGTCAGCACTGAAAATCAGGATTCAAAGCTATGCTCTTTGATTGCACTATTTCAATGGGAGTACCATGTTTTTTCTTAGTTGCTGAAAGTTGGTCCTAACCTTTGAATCCTAGGGGGCTGGATGTTTTCATCAAATTCAAAAACCCTGTTTTATCCGTGCATTTCTTAGACACGTGTCTTAAGATGATGGCAATGTCTCTGGTAATCCATAGTGCTCTTCTTATTTCCATACCTTGAACTAACAGTATGAAATTCCATATAAATTTCGAGAGTAAAGACACTAAATTTGGCTTGTAAATGGGCAGTTCTCTCATATCTTTAGCTCCTTTGCTGAATTAAGTGAAAAGTTGGGTACGAGTTTCTTAGGTGGTAGATATTTGTTTCTTTTCTCCATTTTCTTAGAGTACCAAGTTAAGCTGCTTTATTTTGGCTACATTCCATGATCACGCTGAATTTGCTTTCATCCACTTTAAGAGTACGGAACTGTTGCTTTACCATGTAGCAACCTGGATGAGGCTACTGTATGGTTGGAAGGAATTGGGACCGGTGGGAAAGGTAGATATACATGACAGAAGGTTTCAGATTTCTCCTTTTCTTGAAACAGATCGTTTATAGCTTCCCTCAGAACTCCCCCCCGGGTCATTACTGATACCTTGTGTTAAGGCTTTCCTGTGGTCTTTAGATGTGGGCACCAAGTTGTTATTGGTTAGTGCTATGCTTATCTTTGGACTTGAGGCTTATAGCTTGAGCTCAGAGTCATGCTGCTCAATACTTCACGAAATACGAGTCAATTTGCTGGGTTAATAGTTAGTTGAATTTAGTTCTGTAATTAGTGCACTATATGAATGTGATGGAATGTGGTTGTTCGCAAGCTTATGTTGGCATGGATATCTGGTTCCCCGACTCAGTTGCTTCTTTTGCCGCATTTGTTACTGTCTGTCTACCTCTGTTGAACTTTTGCCTCGACAGTCTTTGTTTCTGTAAAATATGAAAGGACTCATAAGTTGCATATATTGATTCTTTGATTCATAGCTCAACTCTATCAGTTTCACATTATAGTATGGTACAGTATCAGTATGCGTCTTCCCTTTCCTGAGCATTTTATGTTGTGGATGTTTGATTCCCTTGATTTGCATTACTTTCCAAGTTTAGCAACTCATTTCACTCAGCCATGTGTACCGATTCTTCAAAGTTGCTGCTGAGTTGTTTTCGTCATAATTGCAGGAAAATAACAGGACCGAACTGGAAAGGATGGAGACGGAAAAACATGCCGATTTCTCCAACATGTTAAAGGGATTTGTGCTTAACCAGGTACACTATTTTTAACTATTCCATCTGGTCCTTTAGACCATTACTTCGTCATTCTTGATCCCGCCGCACATCTATTGTGATCTAAGCTTCTCACAGTTGCATATGGAAACTTGTCATTGCGGCAATTATTGAGTGGGATCTGTAAATTTTGTTTCATTTTGGGGTGGCCATGTGGTTCATTTTTACAGGTTGGATACGCGGAGAAGATTGCCAACGTGTGGGCAAAGGTTGCGGAGGAGACTAGTGGATATGCAACCGACAGCGCTTAGAATGTGTTAATGGGGAGCTAGCTGTACATTCGAATTCTTCTGCTCTCGTCTTTTCTTCTTTCCCTTTTCTTTTTTAGCTTTTCTCAGTTTGATCTTCTTTTTACGTGTTGTGTAATTGCACGCAAAGTAGGAACTCATGTATCTACAATTTGATGAAACACAGAACAAATAAACAAGGGTTAATACCCTAGTATGGCCCGAAGTTTGGCGTAAGTGACAGTTCTGGCCTCATTTTTCAAATAAGACATTTATGGCCTACTTTTGAAACTATTGGACAAATTTGGCCCAAAATTTTCTTTGACCGTTAATATTAACGGTCAAACACGATTCCATTAGTGACTCAGCAAAAAACTGATGATGTGGCATGCCACATCATTACATAATATTATTTTAATTTTATAATTCAATTAAAATACAAATTAAAAAATTAAGAAGAAAAAATTAAAACAACCTCTTCGTGTTAACAGGAGGGAGTCACCTCCTCCTCCAACAACCAACATTCTGCAGCCTCTCCCTTCCTTCCCAAAACTTGCTTCATCTCCCTTCCTTCCCAAAACCCCAACCACTACAATTTCTTCTTCTTCTTCCATTACGTTCTAACTTCCCCATCCACCGATTCCTCTTTCCTTCAAGAGAAGCCATCCAAAAATTAAAGAAATTCCAAATGAAACCCTAAACACATGGGCGCTGCTCAGGGGAAAAGAGAAAAATTCATGAAGATGCGCCACCTGTGGAGCCCAAGTTTCACCACTTTCTCTTCCGACTCCACCCACTGCGCTTGATCGACGATGCCAGGAGATCCTCCGCCGGAATCGAGACGGCGGCGCCGCCACTGCGGGACTTTGTGAAACTCGGAGCTCCGCTGCTCAGAGCGAGGCCGGTCGTCTCCACAACGCGAAACTGACATTCCTGCCAGTTGAGAGCCTCCAGATCTTGCTTGACTTGGTCGTTCGGCGGTAAGAAATTACCACCCCGCTACTGGAAGAACTCGCATTTTTTTGCAATCAATCTTCGCTGAACAAAGGGCAGGAGAAGGTGAAATTGGTTAATGGGTTCCCTCCCATTAGGCGAAAAATTGATGGGCAGCATCACAGATCGATGGGTCCTCATCATTGGTGTTCGAGTCGGAGGTACGGCGACAAGGGCGACCGAAACCGCCTCTCCGGACGTACAGAGGTGGGTTCTCACTTCCGGTGGCGATGGCGAAAGGAGTGACGAGGAGAAGAAAGAGAGGGATGAAGGGATAGAAAAATGAATGGTGGGAGTGTGGCGGCGGTTCTCAGAGAAGGAGGAGCGCCTCCCTCCTGTTGACGATGATATAGATTTAGTTTAGGGTTTTTTCTTAATTTCGTAATTTGTATTTTAATTGAATTATAATTAAAATAATATTGCCACATCGGCAGTTTTTGTTGAGTCATTAACGGAATTGTGTTTGACCGTTAGTATTAACGGTCAAAGAAATTTTTGGGCCAAATTTGTCCAATAGTTTCAAAAGTAGGCCATAAATGTCTTATTTGAAAAATGGGGCCAGAACTGTCACTTAAGCCAAACTTCGGGCCAAACTAGGGTATTAACCCAATAAACAAAAAGAAAATAGAAAAGCAAAGGGGTAAAAGAAGAAGCACTTCTGTAGCATACATATTCATCAAAGTTCCATTTGCAAGTTTTTGTCTTCTGAATTGTAGTTTCTTCGTTATTATCTTCGTCAGATGACTCCCATTTGATTGCAGTCTGGTATGAGTATGACAGGTGATGGATATGACGTCAATGCAGACTGATACTGTTGCATTGCGGACAAGATGATGGATTAGCTTATTAGTGATAAACTCGGTCACTGATCTTCACGTTAGTGATCTTCACCTTATGGCAAAGTGTAACGATGAAACCAAAAATACACAAAATGAAGAAATTTGCAATCTGAATTGCCCAACCGCCATTGCGGTGGTAAATGCCTCTGTAGATTAGATATACGATGAGAACTTGCAATCCGTTTCGAAACTGCCCCAAAATCCACTACCAAAACCCTAACCCCACAGTATAACAGCAGAAAAAAAAGTAATCAAGATAGAGCCACCAATCTAAATCTCACACGCGCGACATCATGCTGCTCCCAGCGGCGGCAGCAGCGGCCGACGACGCCGACCCTCCGATGAACGAGAACAGTCCGGCCCCAGCTCCCTCCTGATCATCCATGAACAAGTCCTCCGGATCCCTAAACGCGCCGTGGACGCACACAATCGCCACGCCGACCATGGTCGCCGAGATGAGCAGCGACCCCACGCTTGTCAGGAAGACGACGACCACGGTCACGAGCATCAAGATCCCGAGGGTTTCCCGGTCCGAGAAGGTCCGGCCCATCACCACCAGGGGCTGGTCGGAGGGGCGGAAGGTGTAGAGGAAGAGCCAGGCGGCGAGGAGGGAGAGGAGGGTGAGGAGGGAGAACGGGTGGGAGATTAGGGAGACGGCGAGGACGAGTGCGAGCAGAGTCGTGTAGTTGACGCGGAAGTAGGAGTAGTTCTTCCTGATCCTGGTGGTGGCTTCGGAGAGAGAGCCGGGCCTGGAGAAGGCGGAGCGGTCGATGAGCTCCGTCCATGGGCGACGGTGGGAGAGCGAAGTGCCGATTGCGCCGTAGAGCCGGGCGACGAAGGACCGGACGGCGGCGACTACGGAAGCTTGGGTTGCGCCGCCGCTGGATTCCTGGTTGGAGAGCGGAATCTGAGCTGGAGAAGACATCGGAGATGGCGAATTGAGGGGGAATCAGGTACAGGGAGAAATTGGAAATATCTCAAGATCTGGTGGGCGAATTAACGTGGCGAAGAGCTCAACTCCGTTTCTTCCCGTAGAGATGAGAGAGAGAAAGAAAGAGGGTTAAAAAGGAGGGGCGGAGGAGGGCTTCGGTGCGGGCTGCTGTACGGTGATCTGGAGGTGAGAGTTGATGGGTATTGGCGATTTAATGCCCGATGGCACCGTCGATTGCGATGGGATGGACGGCTGGGATGTAAAACGAGAAAGAGATGGGGCATGTGCGGGCGGGGTATCTGTGAGGTGGCCGCCACTAATTAATCAAGAATTTATTCTTTACACCAAATTAATCTCATAACTACCTTATTTTATATAATTGGGGCCGCTTTAAGGAAGGGATTGCTATTCGTCGCCCTAAAAATTTTATTCGTTGTTCTAATTGTGTTAAATTTACTTTAATGCCATAGTTTAATTTTTTGCTTTTCGAACACTGAGATAACCAAATGATCAACGAACAAAAATCGATTCTACAGACAAATCCAAAAACAAAAGTAGTACCTGTACAGATTACAATTGTTCTTATGAGACAATAGGAAATGAAGAAATAGATACACACTACAAATAATCACTAAATACAAACTAATCAAACGGGTGGGAAAACAATCCATCTCTCCTTCTTCAATTACTCGTTCATGAACAGATGGGAAGATCCTCAAGAGGTGATTCCATTCAGACGGGCTAGACGACTCGATTGTGTCCGGGATGGCCTTCTTCCCCAAATTAGGACAGGCAGCACCGTCGCCGGCACTCTTGGATGGGTTCCTGACCCGAGAAGAAAACCCCCAAAAGAACCTCCGGCCTTTGCAGACTCCAATTCTCCAAACTTCTCCATTTCTAGAGCTCTGTTCCATTCCTATTACCCAGGGAAAACCATCAAACAAACCATGAAAGTTTTCCCCTCGCCGCCGCCGCCGCCCTTCAGAACTATTTCAAGCACCAATTCCTGAACTACGACGCCTTCGGCGAGCTCACCCCGTCCATAGAGTTCCTCTACACAGATCATTTCTGCCCAGATGTAGAGGTGGTGGGGTTGGGTTTGGCGTGAGATGAGACTTAGGGATTGTTTGTGTAGTGTTCAGTTAGAAATTAAGGCTTGGGATAAATGTGTAGATTTAATGGGTTTTGGGCGATAAAATTTAAATTTTAGGGCGACGAATAGCGATTCAGTTAAGTAACCTTCCCGGGTGAATCGCAAACTAGGTCACCCATATTAAATATTTATAACACTTTAGCCACCCGAATAAAAAACCATTCAACTTAGCCACTGATACTACACGTTTATGTCATATTTGATCACTCGCCGTCTAGTTCCGTTAAATCTGTCATACGTGGCAGTCAACAATTAGGTTTGACTGTTAAAATGCTGATGTGGCCATTAAAAATAAATAATTAATAAATTTTAAATTTTATTCTATTCCAGCTCACAATTTTCAATTACAAAATATTATTTATGATAAAAATTTAACAAATATAAAATTATTCTACTTTTGTTTTGTTCTGTCCTTCTCAACGACTGGTGAGAGAGGGTCTGCTGTAAAAAAAAAAAAAAAAACGATCGGTGAGAAAGCTTTTGTTGTCAAGCCGATGTTGGCCGCAGGTAGCGATCCGAGCAAGGCTCTCGGGACTTAGGGAGCTCAAATCGTTGGTTGTGTAACCGACACCAGCGATTGGTAATGTGAACAGTGAGGAGTCGAGGTCGAATGAGAGGACATCCACGATTTCCCCGACATCGGTAATCGAAAGGGCAGCGGAGAACAATCGGGAGTCCGGTGAGCTGAGTAGCTCTGATGGGTTGGAGTTCTCCACTGGGCGATACTGAGCCCAACAGCTCCGGCGCAATTGACATCTCCGACAACTTCGGGAACATGATTGGGCGTCCAATAAGTCGGTTGTCCAGCTTTCAATCAGGCTTTCTAAATTCGCCGGAAACAGGGGTGATTGCTCTAGTTGAAGGAGGCAGTGGCGGCAGGGGTGGGAGTTGCAGTGACGAGCCTCGGCGAATCCGCCAAGCCGTCAACACGAGAAGGATGACTCCGCCAAACATGAGTTGGGAATTCCACCAAATTTTTCGTCTTCCTCTGCTCTATTACAGAAGATTCCTCGTCGTCTTCCTCTGCTCTGCTCACCCTTCTCTTCTTGTCTCCCTTAACTTCGGCACCCCAAACCCCAAAATCACTTCTCTTCTCTCTCCCCGCCGGCACCATCTCCACCGTCCCAAAGAAATCCCCACCAAAATCCCCAAGCCCCAAAATCACTTTTATTCTCTTATTTCTCATTCGCCACCGCCGTTGAAATTGCGAGTTCATGCCACTGGATCTCCATACCCGCCTCTACCTCATGTCGCTGAAGCTCCAAATCCAGGTCTTAGAAAAGAGGATTTTGGTTGTCGGGGTCGATGCGTTGCCTGCGGATATAGATGCACTCACTCATTTTCTTAATCGAATCACTGACAACTCTTAGACTAACTCCAACCCATAAAGGGGTATTTAGCTCCTCAAATGGCCAAATATGGCTTTTTAGCTCCCCAAACCCACTTTTCACTCCAACCCTATAAAAAGCTAAATTTAGCTTCCCATTTCACTTTTTCAATTTATTTCAATAAACCATACTTATTTGACCTCTAATTTTTATATTTCACTTTAATTTTTTCATAGCTCGTTATTAGTTTTGAATACAAATTTTTCGATGTAATTTTTTTTAAATTCCGAGATAATTTTTTTTTCAAAAATTAGTCGTTAAAATATTACCGTTAAAACTTCGGGACCACTCCAAATATGACCGTTTTTTTGTATCCGTTACTTTACCACTGTTTTTTTGTCATTTTTTGCACCAAATGTCTTTATAAATGACAGTTCTTCATTTTCATCAACTCAACTAAAACTTCTTCCCATTTCTAAAACAAACACATTCATCATGAGTATCTCAGATAGCTCATCGTCTGGAGAAGAAGAAAACGAAGAGTACGAAAGGTTTCACCACCTACGTTTGAGTTTGATCGGTCGGAGGCTGGCTGAAGGTGCATCAAGTCGCCGTCAAACTACAAGCCGACGTCACATTGATCGTGAGAGGGTCGAATGTAATCGACGTCTTATGAGGGATTACTTCGATCCAAATCCAGTATACAATGCTCGCATATTCAGAAGGCGCTATCGGATGCAGCCAAGATTATTCCATCGCATTATGGGCGACATTGTGAGGTTTGACCCCTCATTTGCTCTAAGGCGTGATAGCTTTGGTCAATTGTCACTATCTCCAGAGCAGAAGCTTACTGGTGCGATGCGCATGCTAGCATATGGTTCTCCAGCTGATCAACTTGATGAGTATGTTCGTATGGGTGAGAGCACTTTGATGGAGGTCTTCAGAAAGTTTTGCAACAACATTATCAACATGTACGGGGCCACATACCTTCGCGCACCTACTCCTGCTGATTTAAGGATCTTACTCCGTAAAGCCTCAAGTCGTGGCTTTCCTGGAATGATTGGATCAATTGACTGCATGCATTGGGAATGGAGGAATTGTCCAAGTGGTTGGGCAGGACAATACACCGGCCACATGCATAGGCCAACAATCATTCTGGAGGCGGTGGCCTCCTACAACACATGGATATGGCATGCTTTCTTTGGGACACCTGGATCGAACAACGATATAAATGTTCTGGGGATGTCTCCAGTGTTTGATCGTATCGTCAATGGAAGCGCTCCACATGTACGATTTGAGGTAAATGGTCATGCTTATGATCAATGTTATTATTTGGCTGACGGTATTTATCCCTCATGGTCGACTTTAGTGAAGACCTTCAGCAATCCAAGGTCAAACAAAGAAGCTTTGTTTGCTCAACATCAAGAAGCACACCGCAAAGATGTAGAGCGGGCATTTGGAATCCTCCAAACAAGATGGGCAATTGTTCGTGGCCCTGCAAGAGCTTGGGATGTTGTCACACTTAACAATATAATGCTGACGTGCATTATATTACACAACATGATAATCGAGGATGAGCAGGTTGATTCTGATGACGAGATGGATGATGACCTTGATTATGAGATCCATGCACAACCTGAACCAATCAACCGACACCAATCAACTCTAATTGATTACTTGGCTAGAAATAACAGGCTTCGCTCATCTACAACACATCATGCGCTTAGAAATGACTTGGTTGAGCATCTTTGGAATTTGCACGGCAATATCTAGCATTGTTTGTATTTCATGTTGCTTGGTTGTTTGTATTTCAAGTTTCAGTGTGTGATTGTATTTCATGCTGCTTGGTTGTTTGTATTTCAAGTTTTGAGTGTGTGATTGTATTTCATGTTGCTTGGTGTGTTTGTATTTCAAACTTTCAATAACACTTGTTTTTATTACACATGGAATTGCTCAAAGTTCAAAGAGTACACATGACACATGAAAATAACAAAGTTGAAAGAGAACACACAACACATTAAAGATGTAAAGACAATAGAGTACAAATAGGATCTTCTTCTAATTAATAATCCATGACAGGAAAGTAATCGACATCTCCTCCACCACTTTCATCGCCATCTCCTCCACCACTTGCATCGCCATCTCCATCTCCGCCATCACTTGGATAAGAGTTGGGATCATCTTGATCGTACCCATAAATGTCATTTTGTTTACGCCTCCAAAATCTCTTCTTTCTTGGTGTCATCTTTGACAAATCCTTCTCTAGAATAACTACATTTTGTTGAAGTATTGCAGCTTCCCTCTCTTTCTTCTCCACAGCCCACTTTTCCGCTTCACGCTCCCTCACTTGCCTCTTGTATGCCCATTCCTCTTTCTCCTGCTCTAGTCTCCTCTCTTGAACATTCATTTTTCTGTTTTCATACTCCATCCTCGACTTTTGTCTCTCTCTCATATCATTACCAAACTCTAGCAGTTCAGTAGTGTATATGTCTGACGATTCAGCAACTACCTTACCTTTCTTCTTTGCTGCCTTTTGTTTGTCGCGTCCTTCAGGGCGAGTCAACACGAAAGGCGTAGCTCCTTCATCTGGTAAGTCATCAAGGCCTTCCACGGGAGATGATTGAGAACCAAAACCTGTGGGAGAACTTTGGGAACCTTGCCCCATAGGTGGAATGGGACTAACAAGCAGGTCAGGATTGGAGTACCACTTTGGACAATTTCGGAGAATTTCGAAACAATGCTCAAAATCAAAAGCCTTGTTCCCATTCTCTTGCTTATATATTGCTCTTGCCTCCTTTTCCTAATAAAATATGTAATACATGGGTTAGAGAAGTTTATATTGACACATATAAAAATAAGAAAATACACAAGTTGAGGGTCCGAAAGAATACCACATCAAACTGGTTCGTGCCACTCGATTGATGCCTTTGTGCTCTTTGCAAAACTCCCTTCCAAGCATTGCAGTGATAGCAAATAATCCTCATTCGGGATTCCATTGCAACAGCAGTACGAATTGTAGTAGGATCCCATTTTTGATGTTCTGCCGCCACTCTTTCCCACAACCTTGTATACTTCTGGTTGGTGCCAACCGCTCCATCTTCTGATATCGACACCCAAGCTCTGCACAAGATTTCATCTTCATTCGGACGCCAATTAGGTCCTCTCTTGCCTGTCATATTCCTATTTTGAGAGACGATAACAATTGAATTTTGAGAGAATGCGATTTATGCTCTGAGAATGAGTGAAGAGAAATCTATGAAGAGTGCTGTAATATATAAGAAAAAATATGGCCGTTAAAATATGACCGTTTTTTTATGGCCGTTAAAATATGACCGTTTTTTCGTCACTACATCAATTATTTCAAATTTATATTTCAAATTGAATCACAAACCACCAATGAGAATAGAGGAAAAAAATCCAAAACAAATTGGCTCCCCAAATTCCCAACCAACAAAAGTTAAAAGAAAAAAAAAAAAAGGGAACAGGTCAGCTGGCGGAGATGGGCGCCGGACGTGCGCCCCAGGCGCGCGTCCGGCGCCCATCTCCGCCAGCTGACCCGTTCCCCACTTTTTGGCAGCCAAATATCACTCCCCACCCCAAAACCCAGCCATATTTCCCTTCCAAAAACCCAATACCCATTTTTGGCTTCCCATTTTTTTGTGGGTTGGAGGAAGAAAAAAAGCCAAATATGGCTTTATAGCAATTTGACACCATGGGTTGGAGCTAGCCTTAGATCTACAAACTAACCGTCGTGTTTTGGTGATTTTTTTGGCTCTTCAGGTTTCAGAACTGGCCAGGAACGCCGCGGGAGAAAATAAGGCAACAGAGATTCCAATTTCCGAAGGTGATGCGGAGGAGTTTTGGTTTGCGGTGGCGATGGGCGGAATGAAGAGGTTTGGGATGGAACCCTGGCAGAGGAAGAATCGGTGGAGACGAAAAATGGTGAAATTGGCAAACTGGTTGTAATTGAAAATTGTGAGCTGGAAAAGAATAAAATTTAAAACTTATTGATTAATTATTTTTAATGGCCACATCAACATTTTAACGGTCAAGTCTAATTGTTGATTGCCACGCAGGACAAACTTAACAGAACTAGACAAGGAGTGACCAAATATGACATAAATGTGTAGTATTGGTGGCTAAGTTGAATGGTTTTTTATTCGGGTGGCTAAAGTGTTATAAATAAGTAATATGGATGACTAAATTTGAAATTCACCCTAACCGTCCCTATGGCAAAAAAAGAAAAAAGAAAAAAAGGTAAACGTCCGGACGTCCCATTGCCATTTGTATGTCGGGTTGTACGGATTATTTGGTTGGATTATGTGTTTGATGGATAGTCATAGTTGGCCTTGGGCTTCATGTAACCATCCAACCAAGATGGTCATTGACTTAATGTCCAACTATGATCCATGTAACCATTCATCCATAATCATGGTAGTGCTAGATAGTGTCATCCAATATCATGGATATTTCCAACACTATAATGGATGGTAACATCTCGTCTTGTGGACACTATCTCTAAGTGGATGGTGGTATCCTCATCATAAGAAAGATCAATTGCTCCAAATGAAATATAAAAATTTAGGTCATTCATACATTATAGTACTTAATAGATAAAACAATATATATCCAATATAGTACACACATCATCGTAAGAAAAATCAATTTCGACTTCAAAAAAAGTCTAGAGAAGGAACTTACATGGTGCCTCTTTCTTCTGCTCATCACCTGAACAATCAACAAAAGATTTTGAATCAAAGAATTCGATTGCAAATGCACACAACTTCTGAACCTCGAAACATATAAGCTAATTCACATTAATCGTACAAAATGAATCATTATCTCTCAATCTGATCATGTTCAAGGCAATGGTGCATGAAGTCGATAATTCTAATGCCAGCCAACACTCCAACGACATT